CTGCTGCTCTGTCTCCTTCCCTTCTTCCCCTGACGCTCTCCTTTTGCCAGTCCCTCAAGCGCTGCTGTTCTGCAGGGTTGAGACTGGGCTCTCCTCTTTGCTTCTGTACAGACCCCACAGGTGAGCTCCTTTCCACCCCGGGTTCCAACCACCGTGTGTGTACTTACACTGCCGGCCCGCGTCTCTCCTCCAGCCTCTCCCTGACTCCCGACCCACAGTTCTAAGTGCCCATGGACACTGCCACGTGGGTGTCCCACAGGCCTCACTGAACATCATAATAATGGAAAGAACTGAAATGGTCTCTCTTTCCAATTCCCAAGCTAGCTCCTCCCCTGCATTTGCTTGTTCATCAATGGCATCACCATCTACCCAGCCAGCCCAGCCCCGATGCTGGTAGCCATCCCAGAGCAGTCTCTTTCTTCACGACTCTCCACGGCCCCACCCAACTCTCCATTTATTAGCTAACACCTAATGACTCCACCTTCTAATTATCTCCTGGATCGCTCCACCCCTCACTCTTACCACTTGGTTTTGCTCCAGCCTTCATTCCTCTACTGGATAGCTCCCAGCCTCTCGGAGCACCTTTCACGCTGACATGAGAATCATCATTAGTCTAAAAAGCAAATATGATCATGCCAGTGTCCTGCTTGAAACTCTCCGCCTTCTCTGCACCTTTAAGGGCTTAGCATTGCACAGCGGCCCTTCAGCCTGTCCTCTGCTGGCCTACCCAGCCTCATTTTTCCGCATGCCTCCCCATGGAGCCCCTGCAGCCCCACGAATGTGCCATGTGTTCTCCCTGGCCCGTGCCATGTTCTCTACTTCCCCCATCCTTTTCCCTTGTCACTCCTTTTTGCCTTTTAGACTTAGCCCAGGCATGAATTATCTCCCCAGGGAAGCCTTCCCTAACCACCACCTCCCAAGGGTTTATTGGCTGTGACTACTAAGTTCTCCTGGAGACATTATCACGTGGTTTATCATTTGTTTACTTGACTGTTTCCCTGCTAGGCAGTGAGGTCCTCCGGGAGAGGGACACGGACTATTTCTCTGTGTAGATAGCGGTAGACAGTCAATAAGTGTTTGGTGAAGGAATGAACAACGGCGCAGTTTTATGAAACAGCTATGCCGCACCCTGGACGAGGCTGAATGTTGTTTGTCTGTGAATGCTAAAGACTCAAGGGCACCCCCGTTACCCCCCACAACCTTAACCTTCAACCATCCCCATCCCCAAGGATGGATAAGAACCTTCCCACCCCACCCTCTAGGCATCATCTTTCCTCTGGAGAGAGAAGAAGTTTTCTCCTCTCCAACTGCCACATCTGCCTGACCTCCATGTTAGTCCTGCCCGACTTCTCCCTGTCTGTCAGGATTACAGACATAACTGTCCACCTGACACTTCATCTTGGGTGTCTAGGAGTCATGTCCAGCTTACTGTGACCAACTCTAAATTCTCAGTTTTCCTTCTCACACCTGTTCCTCCTGAGTCTTCATCATCTCAAAAAAGTGGCAGCATCTTCCAACCAGCTACTCAGGCCAAAACCCTGGAAGTCACCTTCACCTCGTTTCTCAGCCCACGTCTGAGTGGTGAGCACCTATTGCTGGTTCCACAGGTGAACTAGACTCAGAATCCAACCACTTCGCCTCACCACCTCGGCTACCACCCTAGCCCAAGCCGCCAGGCCTCCCAGCCTGATCACGTCATCCTCCTGGCTGGCCCCGCTCCCACACATTATTCTCACAGCAGCTCTTGTTGGCTGCTCAGGCTTCTCTGCTCAGAGTTCTCCGGTGGCTTCTTTCACACAAACTAAAGTCAGGTCCTTCCAATGGCCTGCTTCCTGCTACTGCTCTCACTTCGTCTCCTGCCTGTGGCCTCCTTCCTTGCCACCCTGGCTACCCTGACACGCTCGCTGTTCCTCTAACATGCCAGATGTCTCATTCACTGGTCTTTCTTTCCTTGAAATACTTTCCTTGAGATATTTCACTTTCAACATTCAGATCTCTGCTCAAATGTCACCTTATCAGAGCATCTGAATCTCTATTAAAAACATCTCCTCACGATCACTTTCTTTTCCTTACCCTTCGTTCTCCTTCCTGACATTAGATACGGAATATACAGCATGTCTTTGCTGATTTATTTACATCATGTACCCAGCAGCCCTACCCCTATCTTCCCCTCCAGGCATCGTCGCCCTCAGTGCTTGGCACAGCTAGTTCCCGGCCACTCACCAGACGGGACGTGTAGACGGGTGACTTGATGGGTGTGGCCACAGGACAGTTGATCCGCTTCTCTTTTTGGCGTCGGTTGCAGAACCAGACCCTCACCACCTCCTTCTCCATGGACAGCTGCTCTGCAATCATGGAGATCTCCTCTGAGCTCGGCTTGGGGTTCTACAGAGGCCGAAGGGACAGGGAGTGGTCAGGAGAAGAAAGGAGTGAGGTCAAGAATTGAAGGTGAGGGACAGATGTTCCACAGAAACAGGATGAAACAACAGATGGACCTAAAGCTTTAGAATCAGACTTAGGATGGAATACTCGCTCGTCACTTCTTGTGTGTCCCTAAGAAACATTCTTAACCTTTCTGAGCCTCCGTCTGACCATCTGTGAAATGAGAACAACAGTGGCTGCCCTGGAGGATTACTGTGAGGATTAAATTAGAAAGTGTGTGAGCTGCTGCTCACGGGCCTGCCACAGGTCCTTCTCTTGCTCCCTCCTTCAGGGGAAGCTCTGCAAAGACGAGTCCTTGGCGAGTCACGTGGGGACAAGAGTCCCAGGTGCCCTCCTCTGTGCTCTGTCCTCACAATCTGGTGTTTCTCTTGTGTCCCTGCCTCCTGTCCTGCCCCCAAATAGGGAAGGATAAAGCTAAAACCTGTGCATCCATCAAGACTGTGGAAATTCAGATCACACTTGCCCGGCCGGCGTGGCTAGTGGTCGGGCGTCGACCTATGAACCAGGAGGTCAGAGGTTCGATTCCTGTCGAGGGCACAGGCCCGGGTTGCAGGCTCCATCCCCTGTGTGGGGCGTGCAGAAGGCAGCCGATCCATGATCTCTCTCATCACTGATGTTTCTCTCTCTCTCTCCCTTCCTCTCTGGAATCAATAAAAATATATTTTTTAAAATTATATATATATAGATGACACTCTAGTTCTGCCCCCCAACACCCACCCGTCTTCGACCTCTGTCCTCTTCCCT